GGTATATGTATATGTTTCTGCATGTGCATATGTATATAATATGGTCAACGAATTGAAATCGAACAGCGTCACACGAGGTGTAGTTGAAACAGATTGAAACTATTCGAAACTAAAGGAATTGACCCGGACAGCTCTTGGGGTCGCTTCACAGACACTTCCTGCATGCTACTGAAGCGCCCAAATGTGCTGGGTCAACGGTATTTGAAAGCCTGCTCAGAGTGCTGGGCTTGCGATGCAAGTGAACAAGCAGAGATAAACCCAACAACGAAACAATGACGGAGACAGTGACAACCAAGTGAAGTGTCAGTACTCCTCTGCCTGTCACCGTACTTTGCTCGAAGTCCGTTGGTCTCAGCTTGCTCAAGTTCCCCTGAGTGCGTATGCTTCATAAGATCTGAACCCGACGGCCCTGATATGAGGCAGGTTCTGTTTGAAAAGGGAACCCTAATACCCAAGATCGAAACTCGTAAACGTCCCGGAAAGCCTCGACACCAATAGTTAACAACATATGCTGATGCCTATCAAACGCCAGCTGGTCAACGACCAGAGAATGGGAGTCTTTTCATGATTCATCACCAGAAAAACGTCCCCGAAAATCGTCACCGAAAATGCATAGGGCTTTGTCGCTGCCCTGCCAGTGTGTTCCATCGTATTTGGATTCATTTTCCTCATTTCATTCAAACTCCAATCATGTCTCCACTACTGAAGGCTATGACAATGCGCAGCAAGGCAGAGATAGATCGTGATAGATCTCACCCCCTGGCACAGTTTTTGGACTTTTGCTGAAGGGCTCGGCCTGTAGCCTGCGCTTTGGAAAATTTCCTGCGTTGCTCACAGGGAAACATCTTCAGTGTCTTTCTTTTTCGCAGGGAAACGACCGCACATGGGGCTGACCCTCCATGAAAGCCTGGGCCTTCCAACAGTCATTGGAACTGATTTGGGAAAGAACCAAACTAGACTTCGCAAGTAACAAAAACCCGGTTCAAAATGAGACCTTCACGTTGTTTACATCTCCGCTTTTATTTCACGAATCACAATCCGGCCATGTTGTGCAGCATGTACTTGACGCTCTCCCAAGTTGAAATCACAGAAATCACATTAAGGAATTTTAAGGAATTTTAAGGAATTTTGAGGAATCTTAAGGAATTCTAAGGAATTTTCAGGATTTTAAAGGAATTTTGAGGAATCTTAAGGAATTCTAAGGAATTTTCAGGATTTTAAAGGAATTTTAAGGAATTTTGAGGAATCTTAAGGAATTCCAAGGAATTTGCAGGATTTTAAAGGAATTTTAAGGAATTTTAAGGAATTTTGAGGAATCTTAAGGAATTCTAAGGACTTTTCAGGATCTTAAAGGAATTTTAAGGAATTTTGAGGAATCTTAAGGAATTTTCAGGATTTTAAAGGAATTTTAAGGAATTTTGAGGAATCTTAAGGAATTCTAAGGATTTTTCCGGATTTTAAAGGGATTTTTAGGGATTTTAGGGATTTTTAAAGGAATTTTAAGGAATTTTAAAATTAAATATCATTGAATCACATTGTACAATCTGCACGCCTTGGAAACAATTTTCTCAGAGAAACTGGGAGCTCCCGCTGGGAGCTTCTCTCAGATGTCAATTATTCCTGTGTTAGGCTGACTTCTATTCAGAGGACCTGCAGCAGTTCTACTACCAACCACTACCGACCGTACACGTTGACATGTACCTAATCGCTGCCAGATACTTCATGACACTCCCATTTGTTTGCTCTATCACTTGATTGAATCCTTTGCCATGAGTTCGCTTTGGACTCTGCTTCTGATGTGGCTTACAGGATGTGAGCTTTACAGATCCTCTGAACCAGCTGAAGGGGAAGGCGCCAGCATATATGGACCAAGCTCTTGGATTGGCGTCCGCATGCTATGAGATGATGATGCTATCAGATGATGATGATGATGATGATGATGATGATGATGATGATGCTATGACATGATGGTGCTATGAGATGATGCTATGAGTTCGTGGTTTAGAATCATTCCTTGAGCTCTGTTTTCGTTTCGCAAACCTCTACTAGTCTAGAGTCTTTCTGCCATGTTCTTGCAGTTTAGTCAAATTACATCCTGGCCAGGCGAGTTACAGAGCAAACGTTGAAATGCTGTCGGGGAATTCTTTAATTGGGACATGTCCTCAGTGATTCTGCACACCAGATTAGTCAGGCAATGTCAGGCAAATCAGAGAACATTTCCGACTGAATTCAATCTTATCCAGCCCAGGAACATCCTTTTCACCGATGCCTTCATTGATCTTCACAGTGTAGAGGAGGCAGAAAGAAGATCTCCAATCCAGCAAGTCCACCGACCGTGCATGTTATTGAAAGCCAGGGAAAGACGTTCGAAATTAATCGAAACAAGTAATATATCTCTTCTTGGTCCTTTTTTGCTTGACTGCGTGTTTCGGTTTGTCAACTGAAGCTCCATCAAAGCCTAGTCCCTGGACTTGTTCAGTGGAGCAAGGAGACATGTTTGACACGCCTTCCTGCCTTAGCACTGCTGTCGGATTCCTTGGATTAATCATCTTTCTCTGATGACAAGTTGCTTTTGCAGGTCCCCGGAGAAGCAACACAACTGAGGACAAGGTGGACACTAGGCAGGGGTTGTACTCTTTTCTTGCACTGCAAAGGACATTGTAATCATTGTACATAGTCTTGAAACTCTTGACTTGTGGAGTTAATTCCAACTATATGTGTCTTTCAACATATGCTGTTGAGTACTGTTGATATACAGAACAGCATACAGCCGGATGTGGCACCAGGATTCGCTTTTAAGCTCCTGCCGTGGAAACCAAGAGCAATCTTCAGCGGTGTCTACCTCTCAGACTTCGTCAAAAAAAAATGTCCAAAACAGAACACACATTTAACACATTTAACACACCATTCTGAATCTCTTCGGTTTGACGAACCTTCCCAATCTTTCGGGTTTTTCTGACGTGCCTGAGGTCTCAGAGTACACCATTGATCCCGAAAATGCAAAGGCGTCCGGCCAAACCATGAGAACCGCAGATGACTTGCTGCTGTTTAGGTTACCTTTCTGCCCGCACAGACCGATGACACTAGTCCTCTGAAGGGAAAGCTAGCCTTCAGCCAGCTGCACCAAATTACAAATATTGATTTATATTAATTTATATTGATCTAATCGTTTATATCAACTAGATTCCTGACTTATGTCGAATAATTAATTGGATTGAATCAATGAGTCATAATGAGTCAATGAGCGGAACAAATGGGAAATGGGAGCTTCATGGAGCTTGGATGCTCCAGGTGCTTGCGCAGCGGGACTACTGGGACACATTGAGCCTGGAAAAAGGAGGCTCATATGTCCGCGCCTCAAGGGCCTTCAACTTCAAAGTCTTATGACACTCTTTTGTTCATTTTTGTTCATTAAGACTTCAACATCTTCACACTGCAGCTATTCTGCAGCCTTTGTCTTTGGAGAAGGTTGAGTCGAGAGTGTCTCAACTCTTATAGCCAGGTTTGAGCTGGTTTAACGGTAACAGCGTTGCACATGTTTGCAGATCGGGTTTGTACCCGGACTGGCGCATTTGTAGATTACTGGCATGCAGGACTGTTCTTGGGAGTCACTTGACTCTTACAGCAGCTTGGAAATCATAAGACACGTTTTCAAGGTCCACACTGTCCACACTGACGTTTTCCTGTAAATGTGACACCTCTGTGCGGTGGACAACCCCCATGCTGGCAAACATGAATGACAGTGAATTTAGATGTATAGAGGCATAAGAAAGTTTTGAACCTTGACGCCCGAAGCAAGCTCATAGCAAGCAGTTGGACATAGTCTATAGAGGACCGTAACGTATGATGTCCCGAATCGCACTTCTGCTGCGCCACGTTCTTGCGAAGTTGGCATTTCCGCCAGAGAACTTCTTGCCTGTTGAGGTGCCTGAAGTACCTCTTAGTGGGCTACAGGACACCAAGCCGCAAGCCCCGCAAGCTTTGAACACAGCATTGTCTTGAATTTTTAAACAAAAGTTATGTTTTGCACAGCTTTGAAACAGTCTCAGTATGTCTGAGTGCTCGAAGTCCAGAGGATTTGGTGTCTCAGCTGCTGCCAGCTCCACTGAAACCCCTAGAGGCGACTGTCGCAGATTCAAAGCCATTTTTCTTTATCAGTTTTGGATAGTTTTGGCATGTTTTGGCGTCTACTTTTGCAGCAAAACCAATCTGTCTTCATGCTGCTTTGACACAGGATGACTTGCATGGCCTTGGCACCTTTCTTTAGTTCATCATGGATAAATACATTGAAAACATTTGAAAACTGATGAATGATTTTTACATGTGGAAAACATATGGGTATGTCTGAAAATGGGTTATACCTCCAATGAAATAGCCATTTAAAAACGGGATAATGATCAGCAAAACCATTGGGTTTTTTGGGGTACATATTCTTCCGACACCGTGCGGAGTTGCGTTGGTTGGACAAGGCCAGAGAGCCCAGCGCGGCTGAGGACCGCAGAAATGGCTGAGAGCTGCCGGTGAAACATGAAACAACGTATTAGATTATCTTAATATCATATTACAGTATAGTAATGTATAGTATATGATACTTATATTATACTTATAGTGTCTTATACCAGTAGTACAGAATGAAAAAAGAGAGAACTATATGATTCAATACTGATATAATTTTTAAATCATTTGAATCATTTGTGCCTGATTGTAACAGTCATTTAGAGTGTTTTGATGTTCACCGACTGAATTCCCATTTTTTTGTATGGTACTTTTCAGCGGTTGCAAACACCAGCTTATCCATCATGTGGCCATGTGGTCTTTATTTACTTCAACGAAGCTTCTTCTCTGTCAGAAATATGGCTGGTCGTTGCTTTGTCGAGCGAACACCTCAGCCTACTGACACAACCTAAGAGGTTCAATCCGTGTTTGTATGGGGCTTATTTTTGATCCAGGGTGTTTTCCACTGATTCCCTTGAAGCGAACTGTGCCAGTAATCTCTGCCGATGCAGAACACATTTGAGGCGAGTGCATATCGGGTCTACAGGGAGTCAGGTCACGGCCCTTGGGGAAAGTCCGATGTCATCTCCCCAATCTTGGATGATCTTGGTAGGTCAGCTTTTTGCCGTCGCAGCACCAGCATTTGGTGGCGGACTAAGCGGTGTACAGAAGGAGATGAAGGCGGGATGTACACCATGACTTCTGCGATCAAAGCATGAAGACTAGGCCATGTATGGCCATGTATGGCCTTGTATGATTGCATGGCATGCACGTCGAATCTACAATGGTCTATGCCATCTATGCCAATGCAAAATCTACAAGCTTGATCGACTTGAGCAGAGGGGTTCCATATGATTTTGAGTAGCATTTTTGGCATGACTTTGGACTGGTTTGACAACGACCAGTAGCAAGGCTGATATGTGTCAACATGTGTCAGCCGACTGCAGAAGTTGCGAGGCTCATGGTCTCATTGCAGGTGAAGTCATCCGGTGTGGTACTCAATTATGCTTTGTGTCAAACTATGTCAAACTGGGTGCGACATGTCCAAGGATCTGTAATGATCTTCAAGAGACCTTTCAACATTTTCAACAGAATGCCTAGGAAGGGAGACTTGCAAGTGATCGAAGTGATGGAGTGAGTTCCTCAGACCAAATCTCTTGCGCTTGTGCATCACTTGCAGTGGGTCAGGCGGATCGAACTCATGCACGAGCAAACGGAGCACACAAAAAAGTGTTTGATTAAGATGCTTTCAACACAGATGTTTTGGGCCAGTGTATGAGCCTTTTCCATGATGCTTTCAGCATTGATAGTTGGATCATGTTGTGTTTTGGTCAAACAGGCCTCACCCTTGGATGAGTGAGCAGCCAGAGAAACAAGCTCTGGAGACCATCGAAGGTAGATGAGCTCTGAACGAGCTCTGCTTTGAGCTAACTATGGAGAAAGGCTCCAATTTTCTGACGATTCTTCATCCCCAGGCCCTGTGCGATTGTGGAAACATAGTAAACATGCAATAAAAAGTCTTTCACAATTTGCAAGGATCCCAAGATTGTCGAGTCTTCACTCTTGACCATATTTTCCACGCCAAATGGTGTGCCTACAAAAAGGCGTGTCTGAGACTTTGCTCTGGCACTAGCTTGCTATATCTTGCTATGGATCAGGTGCACAGTATATCAACGTATATCATTTTGGTGCAATCTGGTGCATTTCTGTGCATGTTTGGCCGACTACCGTGCAAGTGTTGAGATATGTTGAGACTGTTGAGATCAATCATTGGCATTGGCGCGAAATTTTGCTCGGAGTGCTTGATCTTGGCAAAGTTTCCAGGTCAGGTCTGCCCTGGGCAAGGCTCAACGGGCTCAACGGGCTCAACGGGCTCAACGCTTGACAACGCTGCGCTGTGCTGCCAGCCAAAGAACATGAGGGAGCCAGCAGCTCAGAAAAGGCCACGACAGCTGACAACAATTTCCTGCACCAGATATACTAGGTGCATGGCAATGACCTACAATGACATTTCAAATAGCTTCTTGATGCTTTCTTTTTGGTGTCTTTCATTTGCAAACAAGATGGAGAACACTGGAGAGCCAGGTTGTTGAGAGAGGAAGAACAGAAAGAACAGAGATTGCCTTTGAAGGCTGGGCAGCCTTGGAAGCATTATTTTTGTGTTGTTTAGGCCATCTTGGGCCCTTGTTTAGTGTTGCACTATGTTGCACTTGTTCTAAGTCGACCTGGATGATCTGGATGTTCAGGCAGCGGAGCCGACGCCGCGCAAACTGGCCGTTTTTTCCGTGCTTTCTTTAGCAACTGCTTTGCTTGAAAGTCTTGGATTGAGCCCACATGGAAAGTCGTGTCAGAGCCAACGAAGACTAGAAGCCACTTGGTGCAGCACTCCAACCCACTACTTGCATTCACACTTGGAATGCCTTGGAAGGACGAACATTCTTACTTGGACATCCTTGGACATCCTTGGACATCCTTGGACACATTTACACCGGGCCCTTTAACCAAGGCCAGCGAGGAACCCGACCCGAACTTGACGCCGGACCACAACAAGCTCTGTGTCCTACAGTCCTACCGACTTTTCACTGAACGTTTACTCACGCAGTACGAACCAACGTCGCATATTGTCACAATAAGGGTGGAATGGGGCGAAACTGTCCGAAGCCCATACCAGGACGAGCAAAAAGCTCATATCCGGAAGCGCACCTGCACAGATGTCGGCTTCTTAACTTTTGCAGAATAGACCTACTGCTCCACTTTTTGAAAATATGATATGACACAGCGATGCAGTGGATATTTATGGGCATACAGCATGGATCCATACAGCAGTAGAAAATGGTCCTATGGAAGCATTACACCTGCCCTTTGCTCATTCTCATGTAGCTGGTATCTAGCTGCTATGTGGTTGCCATGCAGCTATGTAGCTACGTACGTGTATAATAGCATATATATATATACACACAAGTACACATACATCTATACAATTGACAGAAGCTTGTTGTCTTTGCGTTTTTGATGGGCTAGGTCTACACTATGAGAATATCCAACTGGCTTGTGACTAAATATCCTAGCAGCCATTCTGAATCCCTGACATTTTACTTACATACGCACTGATCTCACGAATATATTTGAATAGAGTGCAGGGACTGGAGAAGACAACTCCTCAAGCCATAAGACAAAAGGAAACTCATCTTGCTTCGTGCGCACAGTTCCCAAAACCATCCACGGGAGAGGAACCTTCGTCTTGGAGGCTTCAAAAGCGCACCACAAGATGAAGATGATGATGATGATGATGATGATGCTGATGCTGCTGCTGCTGATGATGATGATGCTGATGATGATGATGACGATGATGATTATGATGATGATGATGATGATGCTGCTGATGATGATGATGATGATGACGA